GGGCCAGAAGGAATTCGTTCGGTGCTCGGAACAATCCTGGATAATGCTATGATATCTGTTAGCAGAGAGGGAAACTGAGGCACGGGAGTGGAGCAGGGAAATGGCGCACCCAAGTGCCCACAGCTGGACAGGAAGAAGGCTGGGATTCAAAGCCAAGCAATCAGAAGCCTCCTTGGTCATCCCATCCCTTCCATCTGTTTGGGAGGCTCTGTCCATCCCCCACGCCCCTCACACCCCCTCCGGCTCAGCTCAGGCCACCATAACAAAGCCCAGTAGGCTAGGGGGGCTTGAGCCACAGTCATTCGAGGTCCTGAAAGTTGGAAGCGAGGGGATTAGATTAGGCCCCGGGCAGGGTAGGCCTCACTCCCTGCAGTGCCCACCTTCTCACCACGGCCCTCACATGGTATGGAAAGTGCCGATCTCTCTTCCTCTGGTTATAAAGCCAAATCCACCGTGGGGCTCCACCCTCAGCACCACCCCCCCAGAGGCCCCGCCTCCAAGTACCGCCCCGCGGGAGGTCGGGGCCTCAGTGCAGGGAACCCTAACACCTCCTGTAATGATGGGGGCCTCCAGGCGGCACCCTTGTCCCCACATCCACCCCAGGTCCGCCTTCCCTCCTGGGGCATTCGAGCCTGGATCCACCCCCAGCAGGCTGACCCCCCACCCAACCTCCTTGCTTTGTTCCTTAATCCACTAAGAGCAACCCCCTGGCTCCCAGATTTTTACGCGGGGCGGGGGGCGGGGGCTGTTGGGGGTAGGGGGAGGTGAGGGAGGGTTTAAAGGCAGGGTCCCAAGAAGCAGGGCCTGGACCTGGGTGAAGCAGAAACTCAGGATGAGAAGTGAGATTTTGATGCTTTTAAGAAAGTAAAGCAAATGGAAAATAAAAGAAAGAAATCCATGGATACATTGAATCAAAATTTTCAATCAGGGCAGATCAATCATGCTGGTTTTTCCCTTTTGGCTGGGCCTCCCATAAATGACCCTGCCTTGACTGCGGAATTTTACCATCCCACCCAGCCCGGACTTTGGGGAGCAGTCTTTGGAGTCAAACTATCGTATTGAAACTTTTATCTCATTCTGGACCAGTGGTGATAGCCGCTCGAGGTTTTTCACTGTACAAAACCCACTGAGCTGGACACTGTAAGAGGGCGAGTTTTGTGGTACGAGAATTAGATCTCAATTTTTAAAATGAGAGAAAAAAAGATTAGCCATCTTGGTGACTGAGTTTTTTGTCGCTCCCTTAAATTTTGCACCCCAGAATGTTAACGCTCTCTGCCCCCTAGCGCCTGCCCTCTTAGCCAGAGCACAGCAGAGCTTCAAAGAATCCATGTCCAGACCCTTCCTAGGAATCAGCCTCTTCCTGAACCCCCAGGCTGTATCCTCTGCCTGGCACGCCTCCTCCCGTCTTCACCAGGAAAACACCCACTCATCCTTCCGTACTTATGCTGTTTTGTCTCCTTCCCGGTCTGGTTTCCTCCATCCCCCTGCGCCCCCCCCCACTCCCTGTCCTTTCCCTCTAGGCTCCAAACATCCAGTCCTAACCTCTGGGGTCTTGGGATATTTGGAGTATCTGGAGATATCCTCAGGGAACTCTGAGCTCTGTGCCCTTGAACGAATAACACTGTCTTTCCAAGTCTCTATTCCTTCCTCTGTGAACTTGGCTCAGCTGCGAAGTGCCACTTAGCGGGGAGGGAATGCGGAGTGAGCCCCCAGCAGAGAGACTGCTCACCAAATGCCCAACACGTAGTAAGCACCTGATAAAAGTTCGGTCTTGGGGTGCCTGGGTGGCTCAGTTGGTTAAGCCACTGCCTTCAGCTCAGGTCATGATCCTGGAGTCCCGGGATCCAGCCCCGCATCAGGCTCCCAGCTCCATGGGGAGTCTGCTTCTCCCTCTGACCTTCTCCTTGCTCATGCTCTCTCTCACTGTCTCTCTCTCTCTCAAATAAATAAATAAAAAATGTTTAAAAAAAAAAGTTCGGTCTTATTAGTACCTTCAACCCAATGCAACATCACAAAAAATGGGATTCCAGGGGTGCGTGGATGGCTCAGTTGGTTAAGCATCTGCCTTGGGCTCAGATCGTGATCCCAGGGTCCTGGGGTTCCCAGCTTCTCCTAGGGAGCCTGCTTCTCCCTCTGCTTGTGCTCACTCTCTCTCTCTCTGACAAATAAATACATAAAATCTTTTAAAAATGTGGTTGCATTTATTGATTCTTGAGACAAAGAGTCTCATTTTTTTAAAGGGTCTCACTTAAAAAAAAATTTTTATTGGGCACTTCGGTGGCTCAGCGGTTTAAGCCTCTGCCTTCGGCTCAGATCATGATCTCAGGGTCCTGGGATCGAGCCCTGCATCGGGCTCTCTGATCTGAGGGGAGCCTGCTTCCTCCTCTCTCTCTGCCTGCCTCTCTGCCTACTTGTGATCTGTCAAATAAATAAATAAAATCTTAAAAAAAAAAAAAGACTTTACTGGTGACAACAGGCATCCAGAACAGCCAAAAGGTGGAAGCAACTCAAGTGTCCATCAGTGGATGAATGGATAAGCAAACCGTGGTCGGACTAGACCCTGCAATATCACCCACCGTTAAGGGGCGCCTGGCAGGCTCAGCTGGTCCAGCGGCCAACTCCTGATTTCACTGATTGGATTAACCCCCCTGTCAGAGTCTCCCTGAGTGTGGGGTCTCCTCCTTCCTCTCCCTCTGATCGTCCCCCTGCTTGTGCTTGCTCTCTCTCTCTCATTCTAATAAATAAGTAAATAAATAAAGTCTTAAAAAAAGAAAGTAAGGATATCCTGGGGCACCTGGATGGCTCAGTTCATAGAGCATGTGACTCTTGATCTTGGGGTGGTGAGACCAAGGGGCTAGAGTTTACTAAAAAGAAAAAAACGATAAAAAAAAAAAAAAGGAAATCCTGACACCTGCTACAATGTAGATGAACCTCGAGGACGTTGTGCTCCGTGAAACAAGCCAGACACAGGACACACAGGGTCTGATTCCATTTATAGGAGGCACCTAAAACAGGCAAGCCACGGAGACAGAAAGCGGAGTGGTGGGTGCCAGGGCCTGGGCTCCTGCTGAGTGGGTACAGAGTTTTGGATCTACATAGTGATGACGGTTTCACAGCGGGGGGAACAGACGGGCCGCCGCTGAATGGCACGTTTACAAACGATCACAATGAATTCTACCGCAGTAAGAGATAAGCCAGGCGCACCCGAGCGGTAGTCGGTTTTTTTCATTTTTAAAAGACACGGCGTCTGTGAGGTCATGTGTTGCACGTGTAAGATACTGTGTATCCAAAATGCTGCAGCTGTCACTCCAGTCCTGATTCTTCTCGCTCTCCGCCCCTCCGCCTCCCCCCTCCACCGTCCGTCCCTTCCGGCGCGTCGGGCGCGGAGACCGCGTGTGGCCACCAGGTGGCGCCGGAACGCCTCTCGGCTCCCGGGACATTTCGCGCCCCCACGGTGGGCGGTGCGGAGGCGGCGCGATGCGTCAGCCGGACCGCGGGCCGGGGAGTCGGGGGAACCGAGCCGCGGGGCTGAGGCCAGACCCCAGGCTGGCGGGGGAGGGGACGCAGCTGTGAGTCAGCCGGGAGCCCCCGGTCGCCCGTGGGAGGCAATCCCACGCTGGCCTGCCCGCCAGGCTCGTGAATTGCCTTCCCGGGGAGACCGGGAGGCCGGCGGCAGCCGCTGAGTGCGGCCGTGCTTATCGCACACATGTGGCTTCAACACCAACTGGCCAGTGGCTTGGGGGCGTGGTGGTCTCCCCAAGCCTCAGTTTCCCCTTTTGTCTAATGCAGATATGTATGGACCCTGCTTCTTGGGTCTTTAACCAAGAAATGAACCGTGATGCCAGGAGCCCGGTGCGCGGTACGCGCTCGGTGTATACCAGCGTCCACTCCGGAAGGAGGAGTCAGAGCGGCCGCCGTCCCTGCCAGCGGACGCCATGTGGCCGCGTGCAGCGCAAGCACGCACCGTCCGGCCCGGGCTTCCTCCGCCGCCGGCGTCTCTGCGCTGTCAGGTGCGGAGCCCGGTCAGAGGGTGAAGCGCGAGTCGCCGCCAGGGGGCGCCGGGCGGGCCGCGGCCCCGCCACCTGCGCCTCCCACGCGCGCCCCACCCTGAAACTCGCGGGGGGTGAGGAGGGGGCGACCGTCTGGTCCCTAGAGTACCTGGGGCTGTGCAGTCCTTACTTCTGCGGACCTCGAGGCGGCGGCCGCTACCGCCGGCTGACATTTATTGAACGCTTACTGTGTACCCCTCATTTTATGTCATGCTTCCTGCAACTCCATGTGGCCGGGACGCATTCTCCTGGGGCAGGTGACACAGAGGCCGCCTTCGCAGTTCGCAGTTTTGGGGGGCCTCGAAGCGGCCTCCTGCGACCGCCGCCGTCTATCGACCACTGTGTACCTTTTACTGAACTTAACGCTCCCTCCAAACCGGTGAGGCCGGCGTCGCGGGGCATTAGGTTGGGACACAGGGTCCCGGACAGGTTAAGTCCCTCAGGGTTTGGGGTCCCGCAGTCAGCCACCCCTTCCCCCGCACACACACCGCCTGGGAGGAATCGGACTGCAAGCTGGGACCCTCCTCCTGCAGGCCCTCAGCAGAACTTGGGAAAGGCGAGGGCCGGGGACTCTCCCGGGACCAGGAGGGGATTCCAGCCCCCCCCACCCCCCCCGCCAAGAGGCCGCGCCGGCCTTGCGCGCTGGAAATCCCGCGCGCGCCCCGAAACGCGGTGCAGCTGCCGGGAAATCAGGAGGAAAACTTCTGCTTTTTTTTTTTCTTTTCTGGCACTCACGCTCCCCGCAGCCCCCCCGCGCCCTCCTCCCGGCTCTCGCCCCCACGTGGGCGCCCCCCCGCGCGGCGCTCCGCCCCCTGCCCGCGTCGGCCAACCGCAGCGGGCCTTTCTCTCGCCTTTGTTGACTCGCCAATAGGAGGGGCGGACGCGCCGCCGAGGCCACGCCTCTGGGGAGAGTCTATAAACGTCCGCGCCGGCGGCCGCGGACTCAGATCGCTGAAGCCGTGGACGCGATCTGTTTCCTCGCAGCGGTGCGGATTACTCTTGCTGAGGATTTTGCCTTTTTCGCCCCCTTCTTTGGGGGAGGATTTCGCTGCCTTCCGAAGGTCTTGAACGAGCACGCGGGCTCCGTGGGAAGGTTTTGGGCTTTGCGGCCTCGGATTTTGCATTTTCTCGCTTGGGACTGTCTGGGCTGCTTTCCACTGTGGATTATAACTGCAACATGACGTTGGAAGAGCTCGTGGCGTGCGACAACGCGGCGCAGAAGTAAGTAGCCCGGGCTGTGGCCCCCTGAGGTCAGCCAGGCCGGGCGGGATCCCGATCGATCGGTGGCCGGCCCGGCGGAGCGGAGCGCTGACCTTCCTTCTCTCCTGACCCCAGGATGCAGACCGTGAGCGCCGCGGTGGAGGAGCTGCTGGTGGCCGCGCAGTGCCAGGACCGCCTCACCGTGGGGGTGTACGAGTCAGCCAAGTTGATGAATGTGTGAGTCACACACCGTCCCCGAACTGGGCGCGGGTGGGGACCCCCTCCGCTCTGCAACCCCCCTGCTGCACCCCTCTCTTGCGCAGGGCTAGGTTTTCCCCCACGCGTCCCGCTGTGGAGCGAGGGCCTCTGTGCTTGCTTTGGGAGGTGGGTTGCAGTATCCTGACTGCAGCGTTTGCAAGTACCCACCACCATATTTGCTGCTGCGCTTCCCCTCAGATATCCCGAAACGTGCATCTCCCCACCTCGCCTCCCCCTGCATGCACATGGGATCCCTTAGGCGCCTTCCGTTTCTCTTTGCTTTTCGAAACTCCCTTGTGCACAGTGGCCTTTCCGCAGCCCCCAGCTGACCAATCTCCTTCCTCTGGCCCCCTTAGGGACCCTGACAGTGTGGTCCTGTGCCTTCTGGCCATTGATGAGGAGGAGGAGGATGACATCGCCCTGCAGATCCACTTCACGCTCATCCAGTCCTTTTGCTGTGACAACGACATTAACATCGTCCGGGTGTCAGGCATGCAGCGTCTGGCCCAGCTACTGGGCGAGCCAGCGGAGACCCAGGGCACCACCGAGCCCCGAGACCTGCACTGCCTCCTGGTCACGGTGAGTTGGGCCTGGGACATGCCCCACCCTGCCCAGGCACCTGGGTCTGTTTGTCAACAAAGTTGAGCTGGCCGGCCTTGCACCAGCTCAGCGCTCAGCCACGATTGGAACGTCCCGTGGGCAGCCCCGGCCGGCCCTCCTTCCTGGGGGAGCTATTTTGAGCTGGCCTGTTTTCCCCAGAGGGGTCCTGGGAGAGGGAGGCTCCCTGCCCACTCCTGGGGCTCCCACTGAACCCCTTCTTCCCCCCCCCCCCCCCCGCAGAACCCTCACACAGATGCCTGGAAAAGCCACGGCCTGGTGGAGGTCGCCAGTTACTGCGAAGAGAGCCGAGGGAACAACCAGTGGGTTCCCTACATCTCCCTCCAGGAGCGCTGAGACCCTTCCCAGCATCGGAACCTGCTGGGTTGCTACCAAAAATAAAAATAAAATAAATATTTGATCCCTCCCCCCCAGAACAACCCCCCAAAACAACCCAACCTGTGAGACCGTGGGGGCAGAATCATCGGAGAAGAGGGGAGCATGCAGCCGCCCCCAGGGCGGTGAGCCGGGAGCAGCACCCGCTGCGGCCCCCGTGAAAGGAGAAGAGGGGGACCCGGGCCAGCAGGAGAAGGGAAGCTGGAGCTCAGGCTCTGCGACGGAGCAGCTGGAGTGGGGGAGCCGCGGCCTCCCCCACAGTGGAGGGCCCGGACTCCACACTCGGGGTGGAGTGAGACCGACGGCGTCCCCACCCTTCTTGAGACAGGCGCTGCCATCTGCATGGGACTCGCGGGCGCGAGGGTCTGCACCCTTGCCAGGACGAGACTTCGGGACTTGGGAGCTGGGGCTGACCTTGCTCTGTACCCATGAACTCCCAGTTTGCAAACGTCAAGGACCATCTATTTTGTTACTTGCACTTGTTACTTGAACCACTGCGAGAGCCGGAAAGCTACAGATACACGTATTTTTACTTCTACGATGACCTTGTAATAAACTTCTAGAGCTTCTGGGTTCTTGTGTTTTTGCCACCTCTGAGAGAGGCCAGGACCTCTGCGCCCCCCCTTGCGCCCCAGCAGCACTGCCCCCCAAGCCTCCTCCGCAGGCTCACCAGGAAGTGTTACCTAAGTCGCTGCTAGCAGCCTGGCTCCCCTGCAGAAACAGTACCTCTTCTCTCTGCAGCCGGCGCCAACCTCGCCGACAAACCTTGGCCTCTTTTTTTTTTTTTTTTTTTAATCCTCCCTCCTCCTGCCCCATAGCAATTACAAGACCGGTTTATTACGAAACCTGGCTGCTGTGCCACAGCTGTTTCGGGCTGTGCTGGAGCCGGCCCCAAGCTCCGGGCCTAGAGAGACGCACCCCTGGGAAACAGGCTGCAGCCTCTGGCCTCCCAGCCGCCACCAGCCCCAGGTCCGGAGAGGTCAGGAGGGCACCTGGATGGCGGCAGGCTCAGGGCTCGCAGCTGCCTTGGCAGGGCTGGTGGGCTTGCAGGGAGAGCTCCTCCGGACAACCCCCAGGGAGGGGCTTTCCACCACCCATGCATTCTCCCTCCCGGGACAGGCTTCCTCACTGCACTACAGGAAAAAAAGTTTTTCTTTCCCCAAACTAAGATCAACAAGCAAAAAACTCAAGGAAGTCGTGCTCCCAGCCCAGCTGGGCTCGGCCGGGGGCTGTGCTTTGCCTCTAAACCGAAACCGTCTGGCCAGGGCCAGGACCCGCCACCTCCCGGTTCTCCCGAAGCTGCAGGCGCGGTGACTCCCCTGCCCCCGGGGCTGGGAGCCTGGGCTCCCGCCTGCCCGCCCCACCCCGCCTCAGTCTTCCCGCCCCAGGCCTGCGGGGTGGGCTTGCGGCGCCTGGGCGGCAGCGTGTCCCTGTGCCCTGCTAGGAGGGGGACGGGGCGGGCTGCGCCGCAGGCCGCGACCTTTCCACGGAGCTCTACGTGGGCGCGGGAGGAAAACCCCGGCGGTCCCCTGGGAGTCACGGGGCTGGGGAGAGCCCCGCCGGGGAGGATGGGAGGGAGGGAGAGGTGGAGGGGGAAGTCCCAGAGGGAGAGGAGAAGGGGCGGGATTCCTCCGGGGTGGGTGTGCGAGTAAGAGGAGAGACGAAGTGGGGAGACGGGATCCCCGAGGGGGGAAGGAGACCCCGAGATGGAGCGTCGGGGAGCGGTGGAAGGGATCCTGTAGAGGTTAGGGGGAGATGCTTAGTGGAGGCAGGGGCCAGAGCCCTTAGGGGTGGAGGGGGTAGTTTGAAGAGGAGAGGGTTTGGGGTGTGGGGGTGCGAGGTGTGGAGGAACCCAGGCGGACTGGGGTATCAGAAAGGACCCCTGTACGGGGTGGGGGAGGGGAGGGAGGAGGCCCGAGCCCCGAGGGATGGGAAAGGGGGAGGTGAGGAGGGAGGTAGGGGACTCCGAGGTGGGGTGAGGGGAGTTGGGGAGTGTGAATCCCTGAGATAGAGCATAGCGGGGAGGAACCTGGGGAGGAGAGCAGAGGCTGAAGGACCCCCACCCCCACCTCAGGGGGAGGGGCTTAATGGGGAAGGACTGGTCAGGTCAAGAGTTAGCTTTTGGTGTTGCCTTGGCTCCTCTGGGGGGAGGCTCACCCCCAACCTAGTGGCTCCGCTGTGCAGGGTGTGTGTGTGTGTGTGTGTGTGTGTGTGCTCTGTCCTTATCTTGATTCTGGCCATCCAGAGGGGCTTTTGATGTCTGTAGGTTCTCTGTCCAGTAGGGGAAGACCCCGGCTCCTGAGCCCCAAGGACACACAAGGCATGGGGGGACCCCAGCTGTGTAACGTTTAGCTGGTCCCCTAACTTCTCTGTGCCTCCGTCCCACTGCCCGAAAATTGGGGTAAGAATGCTGTCTACCTCCTAGACTGTTGACAAGGTTAGTATTTTTTGGATTAGGTCTTCCCACATGGAACACAGAAGGACTGGCCATTATCGCCGCTGTCCCAGCACGATTCCTACGCCCCCCACCCCTGCCTTTCTAGAATCATCTCCTTACTCCACCCTGTGAGTTACCAGAGCTCAGAGGAGGGCGAGACTTGCACGCAAACTTTAAGAAAGCGGGTGCTCCAAACTCAGCAAAGTGAAGATGATTTTCAAGCAGTATTTTCGGAACTCGATGCAAGGAAGGGGCAGGACAGTTTTGCTTGTGAGCGGAGTCGGGGATCGCGGCAGGCCGGCATATGTTTGCTTCTGTCCCGGGCTCATATGCCTCTCCCTTCCCCACTCTGGGTTTCGCTCCAACTTCAGATATTCGGTTCCTTTACTTTGCAGGTGAAGAATGAAGGCTGGGAGGGTGTGACCTCCCAGGAGGGGGAGAGAGAGATGAACCCAAGGCCTGGGATTCAGACCCCAGCTCTCTGGGCACTGCCCTGTGCAAGCGCAGGGTGGAGGCAGTGGTTGGCCCGCTCCTGCCCCTGCTGCTGTGGTGGTGGTGGTGGTGCTTTAACAGGAGCACGGAGTCCAGTTTCCAGAAGAGATGAGGCCCAGCGAGGGGGAGCCACAGACTGGCCACTGTCTTGAATTGTCACCGACAGGCTAGTCAGCCCCTGGGGAAAACGCGGGCTGAGGGTGAGAAGACAGATGGCGCCGTCCCCAGGACACCTCTCCTGCACAGTTCACACCAGAGAGAAGCTGACCAGGTCACCTCTGCAGGTGACCCCCCGGGCTCCCACCGCTGGGGGACGGGGGAAGGAGAGATGCCACGACATCAGCAGGAAGGTGCAGGCGGACCCAGGTGATGGGGTGCAGGTTCACCTCGGGGTACCCACACTCACCTCTGTCCGTGCCTACACCCGTGGTCCTGAGACACGCACACACGCACCCCCCCATGTGGCTACGCGTGCACCCAGCTCCCCAGACCCCAGACCCCAGACACGCTGTCACCCGCTCAGCCCCACCCAGGCACTCCCGGGCCTGGGGCTGGAGGTCCGGCTTCAAACCACCCCCTTGGGCAAGTCGCTTAGCTTCTCTGAGCCCCGCGTCCACGTGTGTCCACAAGACAGTTTGCGTGTGTTCACACACCGCCCAGTGGACCCCGGCACGGGTTACGTGCATGTTGATAGTTGTGTAAACACAGATGTCATCTCTGGCCCCGGGCCTTAACAGTTTGTAGGAGTCAAGCTAGTTCCTGCATCCTCCGTGCCTGGAGAAGGGGGCTGGCCTGGGGGGGCATGTCCTGAAACACGTAACATAGCCCTGGACTTGAGGACGAGCAGGGACCTACGAGGAAGAAGGCCAGACCCGGAAGCAAGGTTGAGATCAGTGTTAGAACAGCCGGCACGGCCGGGCCAGCTTCTGCCCTGTTATCTCCTCAAAGCAGCTCTGCCCGGTAGCTCCTATCTTCATCTGCTTTTCACAGGAAGGGAGCACAAGGGCTCAGAGAAGTGCAGCCACTTGCCCGAGGTCACACAGCTGGGGGCAGAGAGCTGGGGTCACACAGCTGGATGATGGTCTGGTCAGGGACCAAGCCAAGGCCTTGTGTGATGCAGAGGTAGGCTTTGATATCTGTTCATATTTTTATTTTAATGTAATTGAGATATAGTTTACAGACCATAAAATGTACCCCCTTTACAGTGTGATTTAGTGTTTTTTTTAGCACACTACATGGATTTTGGCAGTTATCACCCGTCTAGTTCCAGAACATTCCATCACTCCAGAAGCAGCTCTGTCCTTGTGCGTGGTCCCTCCCCAGCCCTTCCCCAGCTCCCGGCACCCATGAATCCACTGTGTTTCTCTGTGGCTTTGCCTGGTTTGGCACATCCCACAGAAACAGGGCCACACTCCCGACAGTGCGTGATCCTTGCATGATATTTAGGGGTTCATCCGTGGTGTGTGTGTCACCGTCAGACTCGGGTTGCTTGGTCCACGTCTGTTGTCCCACGTGTGCACCCTTCTGTGTAGACAAGGACACGGGAGGGTGCTGACATCATCAAGCACCCTGCTGGGGCTTGGCACCACGCCTCCCGCCCAGGCCCTGCTCACGCACCTGTCCTCCAAGCTCTGTCCTCCAAGCTCTGCCTCGTGCAGGAGGGGACCGCTCTGTCCTGAGCCCTTCCTGCGACCCCTCCCCCAGCGGACGCTGAGTCAGCCTTGTTTGCTTCCGTGTCGCATGCCCCATCTTTGGGGAATCTCACCACACAGGACCCCCGAGAGCCTGTCTCCCGTCTCCAACTCAGCCCTCTGAGACTTCCCAGCACCTGCCTGCATGTAAGGACACATTTCACCCTGCTTGGGACCCTGGCACTTTGGAAATCCTCGGCACAAAGACTCCTGAGTTGTGTGCCGAGATTGACCCACTGATGGTGACCTCCTTCTCTGGGACAGACTGTTTTGTTCCTGAGGGACACACGCTGCCCTGCCAGGTGCTAGGTCCTGGCCGGATCCAGGGACACCGCCCGTGGCAGGGAAGCTGGAAGCAGGCCCGTGGGGGCGGCTGGCTGTGTGCCCGGGGCAGCTTGCTTCATCTCTGCAGGCTC